CAAATTTAATCACCTTGATATATTTTAAACTTGTAAAATCTTTTCACGTTTGAACTGAACAAGTCCATATATATTATCAGATGATAGTAGAATTATATGTTAATGTATACTAATAAAAAAATGCCTTTGATCTCGTTATGTACAAATATTTCTTTGAATATTTAACCTACATCATCATATACTTCCTCTGGTGTTACTGTTTTACTGTCATATATCTACTGAAAAATTGTTTCTTTTTATCCATTAATTATGTTAAAATTTATATTCATAAAAATTTCTAGTGCAGGAAATGAAAACTTAAGGAAAAAAAACCAAATTCAGCTTAATGGTGTAATGGTATGGTTTTAGAAAGTAATCTATTGAAAATGGCATGCACGACACAATGATGAATACATTTCTAAATAGTATTACTCTTCAAACTGAGGATATTCAGTTCCAGATGTGAAAAATTCAAATTTAGGCTCACTGAAAATTTTATTCTCCTGTTTTAGCGTTTTTTTGTTGAGCGAGTTAGGTTTATACTTCATGGGATCTCTAACTCCATGCACAACCCTCCTCCTTTATCTGGGATCAGGATCAGCATTAACCTCAGAAGGACTCAGGGCGGAGTTTGAAAAAAATATATATATATATAAATTGTCTGGTACAGTACGTATATCTATTTATATATATATAATATATATATATATGTATATATATATATATATATATATATAATAGATAGATAAATAGATCTCATCACCTTAAAGCATATAAATTATCTTCATATATCTTCTATGAGCCTAATAATCTTTACTTATGATGTACTTTTTTATTGTTTTGTAGTATTCAAAATTAAATCAAGCTGAAATTTACAATTTTCAATTCAAAATATAGATCAAGACAGATTTAATATTTTGTTCAATGTAATCAGATAAATGTGTGTTATGTTTGTATGTTAAACAGACTGATTATTTTTAGGCAGAATAACTGATCGCATTGAATTCAATTTCATTTTCTATGCATATTCATTTCATTGACTATTCTTAAACTAATAAATTCTTATTTGTATAGAGGTATTTGTGGATATTGTAGAATTTACCTTGTTTAAATCACGAACTGATCGGAACCAGTCCATCATTGAAAACATTAAAGCACTGGACAGAATATTCCTAATGGATTGTATTGAAACGTTTACATTACTGGGTGGTGTTTAATGGTCTAAATGTTAAGCGTTCAAACGCAGGGTCATGAATGTGAACTTCCGATGAGCCTCATTAGGTTCCATCTAGAAGATACCAAAAAAGGAGGTTAAGAGTAGATTATTCAATCCAAGGATAATTTCAATTATGAATCAACTGTAAATACGCCACCACTGAAAGTAGATAAACTGTGAGCAAATATTTAGGCCCATGAATTAACTATCCCTTGAACTCGGAACATACAACCACTATATTAGGCTAGTCAGCTCTTAATGGTATAAAAGTAATGCGTTTCATGTGTAGCAGAAACTCTCCAGGTCCAATAATCGGTACAGTAGTTATAGTATACTACTTATAAGACCTAAATTTGGGACATGATTTTCAATGAGTGTCTTATTTAAAGTCAGTTTGTGACATAAATAATTCTGGATAAAAATTTGATTCAACAAATAATATTAATAGTTGTTTAGAGTTACCTGTATTTCTTGATCATATGATTAAACATTGTCATAACTATAGCCTGGATCATCCCGTTGTTTATTTTAAAGTGAAACACCTACAATATTTCCCGTGTGATAAAAAAAGAAAGAAAACTAAGGTTATTTAGTGACCTAAACAAATAAATTTATCATTTTCTATATGTGAATTGAATCATATATGACAAGATAATTATTTTATCATGATGGAAAATTAATGAGTTTTTAAATGTCATATTATTGAAATCAACTCAAATTCTGAGTTATTCTACACGAGATACGCTCTAAAAGGAACATTTTTCCTTAGGTGACAATGAAAGCTTCCTTATATGAAAAATATGCACATCATCATTGATAGTTAAGCTTTTGAATTTATCGTCACTTATAAAAACTATTAAATTTCTAATTTGTACTTTGTTTTTTGTGTTCGAAATCATTCCTTAGTTTAATGTGCAACTTGACAAATATTTAATTCTTTATGATGACAATTATTATTTTAACAACTACGATTTTAAAACTCATATAACATTAATAAACTCATTCTCGATTCATATGGATTCTCATTTCACTGTTTATTATTTAACCGAACCACATTAATCAGAACACTGGATTCTAGAGCGATGAAAATCGTACAAATGTGTTCTAACAGAATAATAATACCAGTCAGTCAGATGCAACGTAGAACTTTGTACATAAGTACATCAATTCATGTTGCCATACCACATCAGCACAGAGAAGTAATCGTCAATTCAAATCCAACAGTAGAAGAGGTAGTAAGGGAATTACAATAATAATACTGATAATAATATTAATGGCTTCATTCAATATTATGCTTTGTACAGTATGGAATTCTCATCATTGAGTATTTCAACAAGTTTCTATTACAAATTAATTAGTGATCGGTGGTAGTGGGAAGTAAGTAGTTCAAGAATCGACATGTAATTAATGTTCATTGTTTTCTTTTCAGATGGCCAGTTTTGGATTTTGCTTTTTTGTACCGTGTGAGGCGATAGCTCGTAGACTTTTTATATATACCTCTGGACTGATTATGCAATTGATAGGCATGACTGATGTGTTAAAACGAATAAAAAGAGGTAATTCGTTTAAAATGTATTATTATTCGGAAGTGGGTAACCGAGATATTCTAGAACCGAAACATATAAGAAGAATTTAATGGAGTTATGTGTTTATCGATTTATGAAACGTATCATTTAGTAAGGCAGTAATATTCAATAGGCAATATTCCTAACGACTTATCACTATAAGGAATTTTGTGCATATTGTTGAATTTCATAATTAATATTACCGACACTGGATACCACCTCAGTGGTTCAAAAGCTAGTCGCTCATCGCTAAGGCTTAAAGGTTATGGATTCTATCCATGGTAGAGTCTTTGATGCACAGTGATGTGGAGTAACATACTAAGATGAAATAGCTACCTAGTGCTTTCTAATCTTCAATGGTTTTCTGAATCAGTTCTTTATTTGTGATTATATCACGATAATCAAACAGCTTTTATTTAAAATAACAGACACCAAATTTATATGGCTAGATTCTTTCTGACTGGATGAAGTAAAATCTAAATAAAATTAAATCCAATGGATAATACTCTCTCATTATATATGTTAACCTGTGAGATAACCAAGTAGAAAAACGTAAACTTTCAATAAAATCAAGATAATTCGATTTGACTAATGTAATTAAATTGTATTTCTCATTAAGTTTGAAAATACTAATTTCATCGAAAAGACATGAAATGAAAAGTACCAGAATGGCAATTCATATATGATACCTATTTTCGATTATTTGATAAATATGTCATAGTTATGAATGTATCAAGGATTCACTTAAACTTTTATATTATCAAACATTTGGAGGTTATTTTTAAAATGATGAATTTCATCACCTAGATCAGTTCATACATGGTTCTTGTGAGATTGTTACTAGAAGTGTCTTAAAATATTATGGATGACAAATAGGTTGTCGAATATTATAATAAAATGGAGATAGCAATGTGAATCACTAAAAGTTTTCATTCAGTAGTGTAATTAACAATTTGTAGCTCATTATGGAAATATCGGAAATAATACTTGAATAGATGGAATGCAGCTGGCAGTGTAATTGAGGACAAGCATTCGATCATATTTTGAACACGCCAGTTGGATGTATACACTGGAGCGATGCTGCCTTCTCACAAGGAAGGAAGGGGTTAGAAAAGGTCGACCCTAAAAATGTCACACCTCACCCTACCTCACGGATTTCCGTCTCCGGCGGTAAGGGTGCCCACTAAGGGCTTTCAAAAGCGGAGCTAATACTAAAAAACCTTTAATAAAAAGGCCGTGCGGCACCGGCCTCAAGCAGTTGTCCCCTGGGCTCTGCGGTCACTCTCCCAGGTCTCCAAGACCAACACTAATCTACCTGCCTTTTCAGGTCCTTCAAGAAACAACCTTCCACGGCGTGGGCAGCCGGGAAGTGACAACCGCTCTCATTCCCCGTACCAGCACACGAGACCAAATTGGTCGAAATCAAATCCTTCTTACACCTACACATACCTCTCTTCTCTCCACAACTAAATCTAATCACATTCCCTTATCTCACTGCACCGCTAATGCACACGATGCGAGTTCATGAAACGTCATTCCTGGTCTCTTGAAACCCCGTTCTGACTGACTGACTTCCTATTAAGGGAGTCAAACTCAGTACCTTTCGTTATTATATGCCATAGCGTTATCCACTTAGCTACTGAAATCAGATAGCCACTCACTTGTACAACGAGTACATCCGTCTGACACACCCTCAACAGAACAGAGCATTCACCCTAGATTACATTGATAATCTCATTCAATCTTTTTTTATCTAGATAGAGGATACTCAAATAGACATACGGATAATTGCTTAATGACAATAAGATGGCTGATTAGAATAAATTATTAATTTAGAAAATAATGGTTTGCTGACTACTAAAACTAACATTGTTTTTTGATAATAATATTTAATGGAACAGTAGTTGATTTTATCATTTTAAAGAAATGTTTTATAAATCATCTATTAAATTGCAAATTATGTAATCTTAATTTTACTCTGCTATTTTTTGAGTTTCCATTCCACAGTAAATAAAAATTAAAGCTGTCATTGGTTTCTGTTTTTTTTTACGATTAACATAGCGATCGTTAGACAGACATATGAGGATAGTCAGCAAGCTTAACTAGTTTTTATCCCAATTATTTGATTGGTCACTAAACTAGATATTTGATAGATCGATAAGACAAATTTAACTAATGTAGAAGAATGTTTGAAGGTTACGAAGATCGTGACATACACAGATGAGTATCATACAGAATTATTTTTTCTACGTAAATTAGGTGTTCTAATTTGTTTTTGTATAATACAGTTTACCATGGAATGATTTGCAAAATTTACCAAATGCACCATATGGATACAGACTAGTGATATTGAGAGAATTTGATATCAACATTGAATAACCTCTAACTGTGAATACAGAATGCCTTCGGTTTCATTTGCTTCAGACACGCAAAATACAAATCCTGCGGGAATGGATACTAATGTACGAAAACCACCAGCTCCAACTGGTTATCATGTGGACCGTGAAAATGAAAGATCAGGAAATATTTCAGACCATACTCATGAATCAACCCAGTTACGTGTTCCAGCTTCGATGCCAACATTGGCGCGTGGATTTTCTCTTGTTCCTGAACGTCTGGGCAAAAGAGGATCCTATAAACGTCAGGGTAACAAAGGAATGTTTGGTTGTGAAGCTGCAATGCAACTTTTAGCTTATCTAGCTGCACTTTTAACCTTACCATTTTCTCTATTCATGTGTCTAAAAGTGATTGCGCAATATGAACGAGCTGTTGTATTTCGCCTCGGAAGATTAGTATCAGAAATTCCGAAAGGACCCGGTCTCGTATTCATTTTACCTTGTTTAGATAATGTCAAAACAATTGATTTGCGTACATTCACATTCAATGTACCAACTCAAGAGGTTTTAACTAAAGATTCAGTGACTGTTGCTGTTGATGCTGTCGTCTACTATCGTATCTTCGACCCAGTGATGTCAGTTGTTAACGTGGAAGATGCCAATCGATCCACTCGTCTTCTAGCACAGACTACATTAAGAAATGTCCTCGGTACAGTGGATTTGTATCAACTTCTAACAGCACGTGAACAAATTGCTCACTTAATGCAAGATTGCCTAGATACAGCCACAGAGACATGGGGAGTAAAAGTTGAACGTGTTGATATCAAAGATGTTCGTTTACCTATTCAACTACAACGTGCAATGGCAGCTGAAGCCGAGGCAGCTAGAGAAGCGAAAGCTAAAGTTATTGCTGCTGAAGGTGAACAACGTGCATCAGTAGCTTTAAAAGCTGCTGCTATGGAAATTGGTGAATGTCCTATTGCTTTACAATTACGATATCTACAAACATTAAGTAGTATTTCAGATGAGAAAAATTCTACTATCATTTTCCCTTTACCAATTGATCTGTTGAGTTTATTCCATCAAAATTTCAATGGAAACAATGGAAGTTCCACGTCAAGAAATGATAGTGTACAAAGTACTATAGGTAATGATGACATAAAACGAATGATGGAACCTCCTCCTCCTCCACCACCACCACCACCAAGAGAAGTTCAATCACAATTAACTGCATCACGTACAATTACCACTAGTCAAAAAACTGAATCTGCTGAAGAAGATTTAATTTAATAACTTTACTAATCAGAATATTCCAACATACATAAAGAAATCAATTCATTACTAACATTACTACGATGATTATTAATCAAGAAATTGTAGTTTTCTTCAAAATTTAATATTCATTTATTTCCTTTCAATTTATTTCATGTTTTATTCATTCAAAATGAATGAGACTGAAACTATTCATTTGTTTTAATTCACATTGAAAATGGAAAATAATTATGTTTTGGATTTAATCATGGAATATATCATGAAACATATATAAGCATAAATTATCAATTATAATTTAAGAGAAAGAACATTTCTTTAAAAAATAAAACGTATAATATTTTAACTTTTAATCTATGGAAATATAACAACAAAAAGAAGAAACTTTTTTCTTTCAATCTCATCATTCAACTTCTCATTTTATATGAACATGTAAAAATGGGTAAGGGCAACTAACAATAATCTGTTGAATGTTATTCTCTAAAGATAGACAATTCATTTAATGTGTTTTGTTGTTGTTGTGAACAACAGTTTCCACATTCATTCAACAACAATAAATCACAATGATGATTAGGTTTCTTTCGGTTTTCTCTTTTTTCTCCAAAAAATTGAAATGAAGTCATGTTTAGTAAATTTATGTATTCAATCAACAAAAAAGCGGAGTCATCTCTTTTCTCTTCTTCTTCTTCTTCATATTTCTTTCTATATTTCTCTAATTAACTTTGTATTCATCAAAATGAGATATTCTAACATTTAATATTGTTAGTCGACTTTTTGTTGATTCATATGTTTCTACATATATATGTATATATATATATATATATATATATATATATATATATATTATCATTCATTGGTAAGTAAATCATTGGTTGTTGTATTTTTTTCATTATGAATGAATAATGTTCAAAGTACACTGTATTACATACATTTCAATATGTATGGTTTGACTAAAATAATCTCTACTCATGTTAGTTCATTTGTTACTAAATTTTCGCAAAAAACAAACAAACAAACAATACTCCAAACAATTTGATCAGGATGAATAGAATTGATGCATTTAATATGACATTAAAAAAGAAAATTCCGTAATTTCAATTTCATTTCAATGACACATTTAGCAAATGTAATGTACATTGATTGAATCATTTCATTTGCTTCATTCTTTTCCTATTCATTAACTAACTAATTGAACATTGTAACATTGTGCAAAACTGGTACTGAGAAGAATTTGACTAAACTATCAATAAAAATAATATCATTGAAATGATTATTTATTTGTATTCATTCAGTTGTATATCACGAATATATATATATATATATATATATATATATATATATATATATATATATATATATATATAAAGTCGAAATGATTCTATCCGTTATGTTTGTTTATTTATTAAAATTGAGTTCTGAAGTGAGAACTCTTATCAGGAACGAATGTAGATAATCAAAAAGTACACTACCACTTGATTCATTGTTGTATTGATTGCGTCACTAGTCTATATACTCGTGAACCGAAACATGATAAATTTCACGGCTTTTGATATCGATTGGGAAGATAGATAAATAAAACAGATTTTTTTTTTAAAATCCCAGTACATATATGTGCATTTAAAACTAGCCAGTTAAGTGCGAAACAATTATCTTTATAAAGATTTAACAATATAACTATATTATTACTCAGTAAATTAATAAGTAGCAACTTATTTCAGTTAAAGCGTATAAAGGTTCTCTATGTAATGGGTGAAGTGTATCTATATGAAATTTGTGGAAATAGTCACTTAATTTGTATGATTTATGCTAATCAATATCATTGTTATTAAATTTTCAGCTTTAATAATATTATTTTCGATTGGTGATTTCGGTGTATATTTTGTGACCTGACTTTATTTAATGCGTTTAACGAAGAATAATGAATTAAGTGTTAAACTGGATTTAGTTAACTAAAAACTTCGTTCGGTTTCTTCTAATTTATAACTGTGAAATATACCTTTAGAAAGTAGAAAAAATGAGAAGTTACTAGTCGTCGATCATAGGTATCTTCGATGGATTGTTTGTGTTCGGTGGTGCTGTTATTGTAAGGAAAGTTTATAACTGAGTGGACAGATATTTTTTTATAATTGTAATCTATTCTACCGTTATCACTGACACATAAGCTTCCTTGGCTACTTCAGTAATTTCATATATGCATTTAAATATTATTTTGTTTTAATGTAAAAGCTGATGAAGGTCTAATTAAATACATTATTGTTCAATGAAATATATTGACTGAAATTAGACGCGTCATGTACAACTGAGATGATGAAACAGTTGTTCAGTGATCCATGGGATTATAAAGTTAGCTATTCGATTCTGCTATTCCTAAGAAATGTATTTTGTATGGCATTGTTTGTCAACATGAATAAGCAAAAGTGTAAACTCAACAACGGTTAAATAAAAGAATCCATAGAATTTTAAGAAAATGACATTTTATTATGGTTATGTTTTAGGTTATTTTCATGTAGGTAACATTGTATTCATATTATTCGACCAACAGTTGTTTGATAATAATGTAACTAAGTAAAACAGTTAGAATAAATATCAGCTTTTGCTCAAAATTAATTACTTAATCATATATTATTTGATGATATTAGATAAATTATTTTTCATTGTCAATTATTGAATTACTAATAATTATCCTTAAATTGCTTTAAGAATATCGTATTAATTTATTTATACTGTCAACTATTTAGAGTAGTGTCAGTTTTCGCACTATTTGGGTAATCACTAGCAATGCTACAGTTGATTTTTACATAAATTACGTAGAGAAAAGAATCAAAGTATTATAAGACAGTAAGTTTATCCACAAATTTTGTACAACTTTATTATGTAAACATCATTATTATTGTATTTTCACTTGAGGTTAACTACATTTTATGTTAAATATTATTCCGATTTCTATTCACAAACATTATCGAACTATAATATTTAACTACTCAAGGTGATTCGGTCGAAAGGCATAGTAGTAGGCAACATGTCAGTTGAAACAAGGTAGCATAACACACCTGTAAACTTGACGAAACTGACACTTCTCATGGAATGTCCTTGGATTCAACAAAGTTGGTGGGCACTGAAGATCCACCCAAGGAAGTTGGAAAACCCTGATTCCAAACCGATGATGTGCATAAGCTACGGTGCATGAACCTATTCTTGGTGACAGGCTTGGGGAGTGATCACCTAGGAGGACCATCTGGTTTGATTTGATTCTCCTAGCCCACATAAATCTAATTATTCGTATGGTGCATATATACTTTAGAGCCGACTTGTGCTAATAATGTTTGTGGGTTTAAATAACTAAATAAATAATCTTCATTAAAAATATCTTAAACCTGATTTCATTACTTCTTTATGGTTGGTTAAAAAAAAGTGAATACCATTACGGAGTGAATCAATGGATCAACTGTAAACAAACTTAATTAAAATAAATAAAATTTGAATTTATGATGAATAAGTATAAACAACCTTCAGTATTTTCAAGAGTGAATTTTATCGGAAGTCATAAAAAAATAACAAAAAACATTTATACTTTATGTAAAACAACTTTGACTATGAAATCAATGGTTTATTGCTTTCATAATTAACTTTAAAAGGAACCAATAAACTAAATAGAAGAAAAAATATTTGACTTGGAATAGTTCAGAGAAATAATATAATTGCGCCTTAAAAGGAAAAATGGATAGAACTTGATGAAGTTAAACAAAAGATAAGTGTTTAAAAGTAAATGATCAAGAATCTTGAACTTGAGTTGTGTACTAGGTATCATCTGTTACTATCGCATAGAACTCATGCAGTAATGAAAAGTAGATATTCTGACTGATACTCAGTCACTTTTTGAATAAAAATGACAATTTAAATGTAACAGATGTTATTATTTTTTTGGTTTAATGACCATGTCATAAAATGTAGTGTATGGTGATTTTTCTCCATACCTGTTTTGATCAACATCAATCAATCAATATATTTGTTTTACTTAAAGATAAGCAAAGTGAATTTTCATAAGTGGAATTTGCATTACGGGGTTGTGAAGATTGTTAAGTTACACATTTTTGAAACAATGAATCGATCAATGTTAGACCACCATTAGAAACCTGGAAGCACTGGACGGCCGTTTCGTCCTAGTATGAGACTCCTCAGCAGTGCGCATCCACGACTCCTGCACCCCGCAGGATTCGAACCCGGGAACTTCGGTATTGTAGGCGAACGCCTAACCACTGCTGAGGAGTCCCACACCAGGACGAAACGGCCGTGTTTCAGTGCTTCCAGGTTTCTAATGGTGGTGTAACATTGATCGATTCATGGTTTCAAAAATATGTAACTTAACAATCTTCACAACCCCGTAATGTGCTCACTAGTGACTAGCTTCGTGAGGAATCTTCTCCGATTTCTAGTGGGAAGACGTGACCAGTGAAGTTCAACCTGTTCGGGTGTAGACAGTAACTACCGAAGACTGAGTATAAAGTTGCGCAACTCCGTGAATTACTCAAGTTAGATATCAACACCGTTAGATACCGGCTCAGTTGTCCGATGGTTAGGCGTTCGCCTACAATAACGAAGGTCCCGGGTTCGAATCCTGAGGGGTGCAGGAGTCGTGGATGTGCACTGCTGAGGAGTCCCATACCAGGACGAAATGGCCTTCCAGTGCTTCCAGGTTTTTAATGGTGGTCAAACATTGATTAATTCATGGTTTCAGAAATAAGTGGAATTATCAGTTGTTTTAACGTAAACTCCCTACTCTATTACCAATGTGTTATTAAGAGTTCATACCTTAGTCAAATGATTTCTGTTCAGTAAATAAAACATCTAGATTGCCAAAGAATTTCTAATCATTCCTTATAATCAGTGTAAATGAACATAAAATGTTTCAGAAGTTGACGAAATATCGTAAACAAAAACACGGTTATTACAATTCTTCTTGGTGTGTAATATTTTGACTAAAAAGATTACAATTAAAACGACTGAAATATTATCAAAACTATTAGATGCAGATATTTACGAGTATTAAGTTTTATTGGAAGTTCAAAGTTTGTTCATCGTACCGATATAATCTATTTATTTAATCGCCATTTCTTCACTGCATTAACTTCCGACCTTAAATTTCTATTCAGGTTATATATAATAAAGAAATTCAATAGAAATATGTTGAACAATATGTAGGAAAATATATATTTCTCTTTGAGACTAATCGAGCAGCATTATTCACATTGATTGACAGTGCTATAAAAAAAACATATCTATAAATAGATAACTTTTAATGAATATTTATAATTATAGACAATTATCACATGTTTATAGTTACTCCCAAATAAAAATGTGCCAAGTATTAAAATTATCTCAAATGAAAAATTCATTTTCTTTCTTGACCTAAATATATATACATATATATTCTGACAGTTTACTTACTATTCAATCAAATCTAATTTCAGAGAACAATCATATCTCTATGACTACGCTCAATAGAATTATCTCACCGATCAAAAAATAATTTAAATAACTCAATATATTTCTTTAAAAAAGTGAATGTAACATTTGCTAAAATTAACCAAAATTTTGTATTTCATTTTTTCCTTTTTCCTTTCAAAAATCTAATAGTTCTATTAATATAAATATATTATAGACAATGTCTATTTTGAAGGAAAACAATATCATAGATGATGATATGACTTCGTGTGATGAACATTTTGCAACACCATCTACCTATTTATTCATGAATGTAGGTTTCCCGAAAAGTTAACGATTAAAATAACTGTAATATTGAAATAGAAGAAAGAATAAATACTAAACGGAACAATTCAAAATAAAGATGATCAGTTAAGTAATTTAAAAATATCCGGCATTTACTGCATATGATTTTATTGAAAAAATTTTTAAAATCATCAAAAATGATTTACAGATTTGTTCTGCTTCATATTATGATTTGGTTTTGTTTTTTAAACTGAATAATGTAAACTTAATACTGTAATCCAGACATCAACATCAGTATCTACTTAAAATCAATTGAGTGTACATTTTATTTACAGTTCATCCTGATGTAAAGAAAAAATAAGTGAGTGAATCAAAATGAAAAAGAAATTCAAATTATCATTTACATCAGTATTTCGATATAATGTACACAAAAACTATGCCAGAGTAGACCATTTACTAATGGATATTATTTGATCATTACACAAATATAAATAATTTCGTTTACTAACACAAATTAGAAAATTATTTCATCCAACGACGTAATTGATTGTAACATTTGTTACTATAAATCTAAAT